AATTCTAAGCCTATGTATGTTTTTCTTGACTCAGATTCAATGAGTTAGGTCTTAAAAATATTGAGAATTGAGAGGTGAGTTCATCCACTCAGTAACCAAGTTTCACTTAACCCATACAGTTGCATATTAATTATAAATAGATACAATTAGACAAATAAGCATATAACATTCGGCCGTGGTTTACAAAAATAATAAACATGTGATCGGGCTTACCATAAAATACTTTATCATGTTATTTAGCAAAAACATGACACATGATCGCAAAAATAACAACCATGCGCCCTCAACATATGTCGGACCATAAAACTAGCAACCATATGGTCGGACTTATATGCATGATTAAATGCCAACCTTATATCCTCCTATTACCTCTGACAGGAAACTGGTGGCTATCACATGGCTACGTCTTTCACGAACTAACCCAACCTTTTACTTATGAGGAGCTACTGGGTCAGAGTTAATTCACTCACTTATGTAATTCTGTTTCCCCCAATACTAACAATATGGAGTGTCATACCCTTAATCTAGCCTCCTCATGAACCGATGGAGACTAATTAGGTTTGAGTCCCTTATAAAACAAGTGAGATAGTTCTGAATCAACCATAAGACAAAGGCTACCTCTCGATTTCAACGGTCGGTGCCATGGCTAATTCCCAATTCCAATGGCCACTACTAATACCACGTGAATTTTCAACCAATCTACTCATCTCCCTAGGCGAACTTCCGCCAATGATCATGCTATGTATATTTCTCATACAATATGCATTTTAACAATCAATTCAAAATATATGAACTCACATAACTCAAATACTTCACAATCCAACGCATAATTCATCATAATTTTTCACCTATAGTAATACATCACAATCAATTTTATAAAACATCAAGGGTGACAAAATTAAGATTTTCTTTCCAAAAACCATTTCACAATCAAACACTTTGCCAATATGCATCGTTAATTTAACTCATAATTCACACTTCATAAACACAATTAACATTCAACTATAAAGATTAAGTTTTTCCCAATTACCTCAAACCTTTGAGAGGTCAAAGGTTTACCTCTCATTATACCAACTTCCCAAAACTTCAACAAGCTCGAATAGTGCCAAACATGAACCTCATTACATCCATACCAGAAGAATTTTATCATTGTCTAACTCTTGAAGCTTTATCAACATATAACTTCATATACTCCATTATATCAACTCATAATCACTACCCATTCATACCGAATGGGCTCATTAATTTTTATTAATGTACATTATCATTAATAATACCTCAAACTATTATTAATGCACATTAACCTCTCTCAACTACCATATTTATGTTAATTTTTGGATAATAAATGCTCCTATAGACCAACCACTTTTAAAATTATTAATATGGTGTTTCAATACATTAAACAACTCTCATTATACTTATTTTAACTAATGGAATCGTACCCATACTCTTATAGACCAAAAATTCATCTTCCCAACTCAAAACCTACCATAAATCATCATAAATGAAGGAGAGAAAGGAAGAATGAGACTTAGATTACCTACCTTGGGTGTTTGAAAGTTTCAAAATGTCAATAATGGAAGCCAAAATGCATGCCTTAGCAGAGCTTAGTGTTCTCTTCTTTTTCTTCTTCTCCTTCTCTTCTATTTTCTCGCATAGATGCAATCTAATTTATTAGAAATTTTGCCTGTGCGCCGCAGCCCACGCTTCCCTCCGCCTCGACACATGGCACAGAAGAGCCCGTTGTATTTAAATTTGTCTCTGTGCACTGTGGCGAACCAACTAGGCTCCGCAGCATGTGGAATAGAGATTAATTCTTCTCTTTTCCTTCCTCTTTCCTTGCTGAGGTGGCCCGCCATCGATCTGAACCCACTTTTAGTGCTAAAATCATAACAATTATGCCAAGTTAAACCCTGCTGGCCACACACCTTATTAACTCACTAATTACCTTCGTTAAGCTAATAAACTAAGATTAAATTTTTTCATATATTACATATTCACCCCTCTTTTTTAACATATTATAGGAGCTAGCTCATCTGAGAAGAATATAAGAAAAGACCATTAAGCCAAGTGATAATAATTATTTTTGTAGACCTTCCTTTTTTATTTTGATTTGTGTATTTAGTTTATAATATTGTCAATTAGTATAATATATTCTAGATCTACTTGCTTTGTGGGTTTTAGGTTGGATAGAAATGTATTTTAGGCCCTTGAAAATGTGGTTTGGTGTTTTTGTTTATATTAGTGGGCCAAAATATTTGTGCAAGTAAAAATAGTTATTATATACATGATTTGAAAACTAAAATATTACTATAATCTCCCCTTGTGTTTTTAAAGTTCAAGGGTGAGAAATTAATATTAACTATATATGAGTGAAAAGAAAAATTCATGCATGTGATGAATTATTGATGAATAGATGATATATATATAAAGTATGAGGACTAAATGATAATAATTGTGATAAATGTAATTGAGACGTTGGCCTTCCGCTGCCAATTATGAAAGGATTTGAATAGTCAAGTGTTATGTTAGTAAATATATATATTATGCAAAGTAGGGCACAGAGAGAAAATAAGAGGGCACGTTTTTTTCCTATCTTGAGATGTGTTTCCTAATCATACTTCCGCACAGGTTTGATTAAATAATGTGAGTTCTTGAAGTATTTTAAAGACTTGATATTCCTTCATTTTAAATAGTTTGTGAAAATATATGTTACGGATTTGTTTAGGTTAATCTTTACAGGATAATCTTTTTAGGTTAATCATTGCTTAATCATAATTAGTGTGATGATTTAAGTCTTATAATTTAGGGCACCCTCTACACATTTCCCTTCAAAACTTATTTTCAATTAAGTACATCGACCTTGTAATAAATTTTTAAAATTTATTGGACCTGATTTGAAATAAAATCCCGTGTGCGTCTTAGATGCTGAAATGCCCCCTTTTGTTTACATCGGAAATTATGCAAGATATAAATTAGATCCCCAATGACATGTAATCAAAGAAACCTGTTTTAACTTGATGGATAGAACCAAATTCATCATGTGATGATGGTTAATGAACTTGGGTCAAGCAGTGGCCGCCAGTTAAATTATCCAGACAGTATTTCTTTTTGCACCTTAAAAAAACAGTATGGATTTGAGGATAAAAGTTTGCAAGTGGTAATTAAAAAAGGAGGAACAAATTGTTGTGTTGGTTGGGAGGATTATTTTGCAGGGGCCACGACGTTATATGGAAGGCGAAAGCACGTGGGGATATGAACGAAATCATCGAAAAAGAAGAAGAAATATGTGGAAAGAGATTTGATAAAAAAGGATCGAATTGCAATGTTGTCAACTTTAGACGCGCGACATCGTGCAAAAAGTGAGGTCTGGAATCAGCCCAATCAATGACAATGACAATTGACGACCAAAGAAGAAGAAAGATAACAGAGCAAAATAACGTCGACAGCAGGGTTCGAACCTGCGCGGGCGAAGCCCAACAGATTTCAAGTCTGTCTCCTTAACCACTCGGACATATCGACGATGTTGGTATTCTGCGCACAATTTAAATTATTTATTATAAGTTATTGTTAAGGCCACGAATTTGTTTTTAAATTCAAAATCAACTTGAAAGTTGAAATTCATTCCAGTCATATATCTTCGAAGTTACATCTCTCTCTTTCTTTTGCTCAATTTGTTTTTTTTTAAATAAAGTTTTCTTAAATCAAATTAAAAGGTGCAGAATAGAATGTTCTTTCATTTTATATGGTATGAATTTTATTTTTACTGCAATAAAAATAAATAGAATATTTAAATTTTTTTATTCTAAAAATAATAATTTAATATTTTTAAAATTATTAGTTAATCTGCTAAATTCAAACAATCAAAATTTCGAAAGTGTCCATTCTCTTCCAAGAAGAGGCGTTATTAACAAATCAAGTTCCTTCTAATTAGCACTCCCCCATTCCTATTTATTAATCACATTCTAGAAAATTTTCTTGATCCTTTATATAAATCATTTTAACTTATTTTTTTCAATCTTTGATACACAATTTTAAAACTGCCCTCCAATAAATTTTAAAAAAGGGTGCAATATTTTAATTTTCAAGAAAACTCTTCCCTTATATCAAATCATTTTTTTAAATTCAGGGACAAATTTTGAAAGTGTTACTTTTAACACAATTTTATTATTCTAATTAACTCAGCTTGGTTTTCATAAGTAAGTTAAAAATAACTTATAAAAATTAAGAAGGACATCAGGGAGTAGTGATGAGTATCGTCGGCTGTCATGCATTTAGCTGGAACTGGAATTGCGTCAAATATTGACAAATTGCATTCCAGCTTGTGCTGATCTACAGTCACACAATTTCACGATGAAACCTTCCACATTCTAGAAAATTGATCTCCACTAGCGGCGTCCCTACCAAGTCTCTAACCTGTGTATGATTAATCCAGGGGACAATTTTCACACTAATTCAGTAATTTCCAATTTCTACATTTGATAGTAAAAAACAGAATCTATATAACTGTGTTTTCGTCCACATAGAACAGCTATGTTGCGTGCGTGATGTGGTGATTTACAAGTTACAACGGACACTTTGGACGCGTATCATACACAGGTTACATTTGATTTCCACTCTATCTCATATCATTCGTCCACATAGTCTTGTAATTGCCAGAATTTCAAAAATGACAGCTTTTAAGCATGCAGCTTCTACGTTACCCACAAATTTTGCAACATTCAAAGACAGTCTCCCTCAATTTTTTAAATCTATATAAAACCCATTGTACAAAAAAAATATATATATATATATATATATATCCATATAAAACCCTTTAACCCGATCATGTTCTTCTTAATATGGTTGACCTTTTCAATTATTTAATATATGTCTTAATACACGCCATATCTAAGAGACTAAATCACCATTAAACTTGCGAATTTGCCATGTTTATAAGAGAAGAAGCGTATCATTTTGTTGTTCAGTAATCAAAGGAAACTACAGGGAAAAACCAAGAGTGACACAATACATAGGCTTCCCTGGCTGGAATTATTGGACACTTATATAGAATTACAACACATTAATTACTGTATGATGAACACCATGCACAAAATGAAAATCTCACGAAGAATTGAATTTAGTACAATCGATCCTAATCTCCCCTTCCTTCCCAGTCTTGACCCCTACCCTCCCAAGCTTCCTCATCGCAGTGCCAAACGCCGCATTGAACTCGGCAGGGTTGTTGGCGAACTCGACCACCGTTGACTGTGAATCGGAGTCGGTGAAGAGAACCTGGTCAGAAGTGAGCAGCCCCTGACCGGAAACCAAGTTCTGGTAGTACAAATTGTCGAACGCTCGTGGGGATTGAACATCCAGATCGATGGCCACTTGAGGGTCGAAATTTCTGGGGCAGAGCTGCATCAACCGCTGGGCGAAGTCGGAGTTCATAGTAGGGTCCACCTGAGAAGAGTACAGGCGATCGGTGAACTCGTTGCAGTGCGAGAACCCCACCGTGTGTGCTCCGGACAGGGCTATCATATCGGTTTGGCTCATGCCGTGCCTGCTAAAGATGGCATTGAGTTGGTTCAGATTGAAGTTTGCTTTTGGCAGGTTTCCTTCGACCCGAGAGGCAATCGAAACGAGGCCATCCCTGCGTCCTAGTTCTACGTTGAATGAAGGGCCTCCAACCTGAAGAACGATGATATATTGTCAGGGTGTAATATGTTGGAGTTTTGGATTGAGATTAATGGAATCGGAAAAGCTTGTGGGTTTGGGTTGATTACCAAGACAACAACGTCTCTGGCAGCGAGTGCTAAAATGTCTGCGCATGAAACCACGCCGGGGCATTCAGCTTCCACCGCCTCCTTTGCTTTAATCACGGTGTCGAACCCATCTCCGGCCAGAGATAGATTAATCGGAGCATCCTTCTCTGCGTCCCCGTTCGGCGACGCGATCATCACCGAAGCGTCGCATCCCTACCAACGTGTTACAGACGCACTCATTAATAATGGATTCGGTCTCCGTTTTGGAAAATGCGATTTTGATATTCGTTAGTTACATTGTCGGTGGTTAATTCATTAACTCAGCAGGTCAGGTTTCTTCTTCATTTCCCCCCTTTTAGTTTAGCACCTAGTCAATGGTTTTTTATTCTGAATTGGCGTCACAGGGGCTACGCCCATTGGTGAACGTTTCAAATCACTATAAATATTACAATAAAAAAAAAGCCCAAAAATGAAAAAGGAAAAGAAACACACGCAACCCAATTTTCATGAGAATGGCAAATCAACGGAATTACAATCAGAGCTATGAGAGGAGGAAAAAGTGCATCAAGGTTCTGTATTGCTGACAAATATATCTAGAACTGGGTATAAGCAGGTAATCTTCACAGTACTACTTGAAGGTTGAAAGAGGAAGACAAAGAAAAGAGAAGATTGAAGCATACCTCTACCATGCAGTCATGGAAGAAGAGACGAAGAGTTGCAGGAATGGTGGTAAAAGTCTGAGCCAACTTATTGGTCACTGCTTGGTTCACGATGGCTTCCACGTTTGGACAAGTCGAACTGTAAAAATTCTCCGTTAATTGTGCTCCTCCCCCACACATCATCGCAAAACCCATTAAAACCCATACTAGTAGTCTTCTTGTCTCCATCTCTCTCCCCTTACGTATATCTCTCTTCTCTGTATTTGTCTGATTTTGTGACCTGTATTTATATGTACAGCGCCCAGAATAAGATGTTTACTCGGTTATATATGCTTATTCATTCAGAGTTGAAATTAAGCATTTGTTAATTTGCATACCTGTTTTAGTCCAATGTCTTCTCTCAATTACTTTTATGCTCCAACTTGTAAAAAATGGCGCTTCCCTGCTAAAGTTTTACCCTGGGGTCCATTTCGTGACATGTTTGAAATAAACATTTACGTGTGAAAATTAATATGTATTAATTATCTATATATATATATATATAGTTGTGTAGAGATTAATGAAGTTATAATCATATTTTAAAGACAAACAATCTGATGATGAACTAGGCATGTATCCTCTGCGGTGTAAGCATTATAAGGCCCCATTGTGTCCGCGTGGTAAAGGTGTTTGGAATGAGTCCTTTTCATACCCGTCGACCAAGTAAAATACAGCCACATCATAATAATTAAATTAAGTCGTACATGCTTTTTTTTAAACTTTATTTACCATCTTTTTTCCTAGTTTTGAGCTGATAATAACGCATCTTCTTGGCAAAAAAAAAAAAAACTAATAGTGCATTTATTTGTTTCAATTCTGAATTGGATATGATTAAGCTAGCTAGGTGTAACTTATAAGGACCTTCAATTCGAAGTTTATATCCAAGTTTCATCTCGATGAAAAGGTATAAAATTCACGGCTTAGTTATTTTAATGCTTGGTTAACGTTTGAAACATTATTAAATTTTAGTCCAATCAAATCATAAATATTTCTTGACATGATGATCATATAATATTGCAAGTTTTGCTAATGGCATTTAAATAACCTAGATTATATTCAATAAAAAAATAATGTAGGTTATTTGCACACATCACCAATTGTTGATTGGTAAAATCCTCACTTTTGCCCGAATTTTGATTGGCTATCCGAATAAGACTTTATAACATGAGGGAAAACTCGACGCTGGGACTTCACATTTTCTTTATTCCCCTGCCACGAGTAATGACCCGTTCATATAGAGTTATTGAAATTGAACAATCTTATATTTAGTGTCAACGTTCTTTGATGAATGAATATTGGTGTTTTTAGGTGGACTTAGTAGCTCCTGCCCAAATTTTTTTTTTAATTAAAGAAAAAACAAAGTGGAATAAGTAGATATCGCTTGCAATTTTGCAGGAACGTAGATGCAATTAAATTTAACCCCATTGGTACGTATATATGATGGTGATGGATTTTGACGCTTCAACTAATCAGGTTTAAAATCAGTGCGTGGCTTTGACATATTCACATCCTCTAAACTCGGTCGTTTTTAGCATATCTGGTACCCTAGTTGATTGGCTTTTTGGCATATCAAACTTGGTCATTTTTAACTATGTTTTGCCTAATCTCTGAGTGTGGACAGGAAACAACACAACATTGAGAGTTTAACTTTTAAGGGCGGAAACTTAATTAATTCGTGTCTTTATTTCCTTTTCAGGAGATCTTGTAGTTTGGCTGGTTTTATTATTTCAGAATTTAAGTGATGCCTTACTTGTTTGGAAGGACCCACTCAATGTCATGTGAGCTTGTAAACGTTGAAATCACATACATGCTCTGTTTTGTTTATAATAGCTGACCTGGCTTCAGTGCCCACTTGCTGCAGTTGAAATAAAATTAGTTGCACGAATGCCATCATATTAAAAGTTACGTATTCAGAATTATATATATTTTTTAAATTCAATGACATTGTCACTGAATTAATCTGCTCATATATGGCGTGACTTTGGATAATCCCAGAGCATGTGATTTTTTTCTTTATTTTCTTTTTGAATACAAGGCTACAAACAAATCTATGTAAAATAATGACAAACTAAGTTATGTCAAAATATAAAAAATCCCCACACCAATTGCGTGGAAAATCAAAAATTTTGATATTTAAAATATCATTTAAAGATCAATCTGTAAGCCAGTGATCAGTATATTTATTTGCTTTTCTAAAAATGTGATCAAACGTGATTATCCAATCTCATAATGAATTCATTGATTTTATTAATAATTTCAATGAGGGGATAGTTATCAAAACTCATGTTGGATGAGCATGAGAGTTTAAAAAAAGTCAAAATAAATGTCAACTTTAACAAACTTGTCATTCTAATAGATTTTAATTCCTTCAAAGATATCCATTAGTTCTGTTGTATAATGGAGGTGGTAGTTGAAATATTTTGAGAAACCCTTAATCCAATTACCTTGGTTGTTTCAAACAAGGCCACTATAAGCAATAACATCATAATTATTAACTGAGTTGTCAATATCAGTGTTACCCAACTTGTTTTAGAGGGCACCAGTTAGTTTCAACTCTTTCACCTTATAATATGGTTGAGCTTTGATTGAAGGTTCAAATCATTTATTATGTCTTGGATATATGTGAAAGTGATATCTTTGTTAGCAATATATTCTTCTAAGCACATGTTTTTGTATCTTTCTTTCTAGAGATTCTAACAAATATGAATGAAAAGTCTCTGCCAATGAGTTTTCCTCACATTTGGTCCTCCCACATCATGCTTTGCATTCCATAGTATCTAATCCTACAAGTCAAGAGAAAAGAAAATATTAAGTTTATAATGCATATTTGGTTTCGACCAAACTTCTCCTGATTTCTTGCAATCTCATAGAATGTGAATTGATGATTTTAAAGAATTACACCCAAAAGACAATCCTTTTGATAAGGATTGAAACTATTAGAGTATGTATATTTTAATTGAAAATAATCCCAAGAGAGCATGTGATTTTAGAACACACAAAAGAACCTTTTTGGAGTAGTATTATGGTACTCAATTTTGGTCAATGAGTGTGTCATCTTTAATGTGAGGAATTGTGGATTCACAATTAAAAGGTAAATTGTTAGGTTGTTTAATTATAAATTAAGTTTAACAATTAATATAAAATAAAATTGAATGACTCATAAATTTTTATTTCAATGGTTGCCCCCTGCTATTAACAAAACATATTATAATAGAACTTCGTTAGGTAAGCAAAGCCCCTGCATGTGGAGGGCTACTTTAGCCCCATTTTAATTGAGAATACAGCCGCAGCCGCATGCATTAAATTGTAGATGAATTGTTTATTTTTATAATATTTGTATTTATAGAAGAGGGATCATGTTTAAAAAAATGAAAAATAAACTTATATAATTATAATTTATCTGTAGGTTCTTATAATTTCATTTAATTTTAAATTAAGTCTTTGCAGTTTAAAAGTTAAAATTATACTCTTGGAGTTTAAAGAAAATTTAATTTAATACCTTGAGCCAAAATAAAAAAAATAAAATTTAATTTAATGCACTTTTTACATTTTTATTAATTTTTATGAAAATTTTATATGTATAAAAAATATTTAGAAGGCAACCTAATTATATAGATTTTGAGTTATCAAAATTATATAATTAATTCAAAAGTCATATAATATTTTAATAAAAATATAAAAGTTCTTGACTTTTTTAAAGAAAAAATTTAAGGATTTTAACTTTTAAGGATTAAAAAATTTTGTTGATCAAACTATAAAAGCTCAATTAAAATAAAATAAATTATAAGGATATAATTCAAAGTTAAATAAAACTGCAAAAATTTGTAGATATATTTTCCCAAATAAAAAAGGCCAATGTCTTTAAACTTAAAAAATAGTAAATAGAAATAATTGAAGAAAGTGAAAGAAAAAGGAAAATAATAGGAAGAATTTTATTTAAGGATCATGGGTGTGACTTATTCACAAATTAGCTAAATCAATATGAAATTATACTGTAAGATTAAAAGATTAAATGAAATACTTTTTAACTAAAATGACCCAAATGCCCTTTAACTAGACTTAATCGTGTGACTTTACTTAATAATTTTTTAACATAACTTGTTAATTATTTAACTTGTTAAATTTGTGACTCTTTTAATTGAATTATATCACTTGTTAATTGAATATTTTTACTCATTAATTTCTCAATAAAATTTTGTTAATTATTTAATTTTACTTGTTAAATTTGTGGCTCTTTCAATTGAATTATATCACTTGTTAATTGTATATTTTTACTTGTTAAGTTCTCAACAAGATTTTGTTAATTATTTAATTTTACTTGTTAAACCTGCGACTTCCTCAGCTGAACCGTATTACTTATTAATCATGTGATTTTACTTTTTAATTTTACAACAACACCTGTTAATTTTATAATTTAACTTGTTAATACCATATAAAAAATGAAAAACATTCTGATCATTTCCAAGAAAAAATAATTTTTACAAATTTTTTTAATCCTGTAGTATAGTTTTAAAATTCATTTAGTTTAATTTATAAATAAATTACGTTCTTGATCCTTAAATCTGCCAAAACAAAAAAAAACGTGTATTGAAAAAAAGGAGAAGGTGAGGATTTTTTTTTTTTTTTTCCTTCGAAAAAAGCAAATTAGATGGAGATGAGTATGTCTTCATGCGGTATAATTTTGAATTTATATTTTACTTTATAATTATAATAACACGCTCATGCTCCAAGGCGTGGCGGGCAAGCACTGCTTCATGACCTCTGGTCCATCACGGAAGGTGAGTTCTTGGTTGTGTAAACTGGGCTTACTTTCAAGGTTGCTCAAAATTTTAAACCCACGATCATGTCACTGTCAAGCAGAATATTTCCAACCCAGAACATGTAACCATGTTTCCCCAAAAATTAAAAAAAAAATAAAAAAAAATCACATCCAAAGATCACTCAAAAAAATTATTTATAGATAATAACTAATGATAAATTTTATTTGAAGAAATATAAGTCACGTTTTCACTTTAATAATAATTTATTATGCATTGGTCCTTGTTTGTTTTCATCTTTAAATGTGATTTTCCCTACCAAAAAGCTTTGGATAAAAAATTAATTACTAATAAATCTATCACAAATTTTAGATTTAAAATCTTACATTTAAAATTTATGTATTCAAAAAAATTTACTTAGATAATGGAAAAAACTTTAAAGGTAAAAGTAAGATGTGTGAGATTTGAAGTAAAAACATATGATTGAAAGTGACAAGCTT